GTGACACCAACCAGCCCCAGAGCAAAAACCATCAGCTGCGAACCGTTACTCTGTCAGCCTTGGCACGTGCCCTGTGAGCCCATCCCCAGGGACTGAACTGGCCACCTTCATGGGGCTCCCTCCCCTTTGCCCATGACACGGCTCAGCAACGAATGTTCATCTCTGACCCAGATTTGCATAGTTCACAATCATGGAGATTTCCCTGCTTCTCTCAGCTCTTATAAATGCTTCAGTTCAGTACTTCTGGGTGTCCAGACTGTGGACTAAACTCCTTCCAGTGGAGGTGCAATCACCTACCCTGGAGATCTTCAGAAGGAGACTGGACAATCTCCTCGCTGGGGTCACTTGACCCCAGTTGGCTTCCTGCCTAGTGCAGGGGGACCGGACCCGATGATCTTCAAGGTCCCTTCCAGCCCCCTACAGTCTTTATAGCTACAACAGCAGGTATCGATCAGGCATATTAATGAATAAACCCCCACATTTTAATTAACACATCACTTTACCATGCCTGTTAGACTAGGTACATGTTTGAAGAGTTGGTTATTCTTAGTGTTAGTGTCACACCAGATGATAATGAACTTTGACACTGGCCTGTATCTTATTAACTGGAGCACTGGCAATTCTGACTTCAAGCTGTGAAGAGGAAATGCAAGAATAGAAAACATCAGGCATGGTCTAACTGTGCAAATCCTCTGCAGGATACAAGTAACTGCCATGGGGTGTTATGCAGCTCTCACTTCAACAATGTTAATGAGGAAACAGAGATCAGACTTGAGTCTAGAGACTGTAATGTGCATTATTTAAGTCTCTCCATAGAAAATAGCCATTGCGATGACAAATTCCTCATTGACATAATTTATTCATTTTTTCTTCCCTGGGCAATGGGGGATCACAATGGCTTCATTTTACTCTTTGCGCTCAGCACTGGACAGCCCATATGCTGGGGAATATTACTGGCAACACTATCATCTTGTGTTGCTCACAGGGACAGAGCCATAAGGAAATGGGCCGACACTGCGCAGTTCACTTTCTGAACAGTCATTTCCTCTGTGGAGCTGTTACACTCCATATGTCGTGCCCTTCCTCGCACACTCACTTGGAGAGTCAGAGATCTCCCATCATCCCACTATGCTCCAGACAACAGTGCAGTGAGCAGGTGTCCCAGATGGGTAACATGGTGGAGAAGTCTCTAGTACACTAATAAGGGAGTTTTTTGGGCAACTAGGGAAGGGTTGGTCTCTCTGTTCCTATACCTGTATGCCCTGCATCTCAGATTTGATCTTACTATCTGCTCCACTCTGATTGTCTGAGCGGCTCTGGAAAATGCTGGCTCAGCCTTTTGGGGCCACGTGGTCAGGAATGGACAGGATTTTAGGTTCGCAACATGAATTACAAACTCCCTCCGGACAAGACGGGGAAGGTGGGATTCAGGAGATTCACATGGAGAGAGGGCAGGACTGAAGGCATGCAGGAGCTACTGGGAACAATCCCATGGCCTGAGTTATGCAGGACGTGAGGTTAGATGATCATAAGTGTCCCTTCTCATCTTAAAATCTCTGAATCCATGGGCATGGACTCATCAAGTGACTGCAAAATAAAAGCAGGCAGCATGCCACTTCCCATGTTACCCTGTGGTACACCCCACGTGCACACTCTTCCCCTGCAGAGCAAGAATGCCGGCCAGCTCCGCTTTCATTAACAGCACCTCCACTGGTATTTGTGGGTCCAAACCCTCTCTGTTCTTCACACTGACCTTTGCTTCAGTGAAACAGCTGCTTCCTCTGCCTTGTAGGAGTGCCAGCATAAGAGATCGCCAGGTCAACAGGAAACTTGAGTTTGGGAGCCCTCAAACTTGTTAGCCCACAAGTCTGTTCTCTCCCCACGTCCAGATTTCCAGTGAGAAGTGGTGGTGACTGTACTCATGACGGGACCTTGGCACTGGATGCTAAAGCCTCGTTTGCTCCCAGTTATACCAGTGTCAACTCCATTGTGGTATAAGCCTGGAGCAGCACAGAGCAGGACCTGACCCTTCACCTGGACATAAGACAACATACTTGCTGTGAAGTACTGGGTGAAAAAAAAGCAATGCTAGCACCTTACAAGATGGCCTAAGGCACAAAGAGCTGTGGGTTTGCCCCAAGACAGCAGCACATTAGATACAACCATGATACCCATGTGACAGCTGTCTCCCTCTCCTGCACTCCTCACAAAACCAAGATCAGCTGCGTGCCCCTGCAGGTAGTCCCACACGCCTTGCTGGGAGTCGCTGGGGTGCTGCAGAGACAACCAAATCCCTGGAGAAGATCCTGAACTCACACGCGGAGTCCATTTTTTACACTGGAGCCCCAGCCTGGGCTGAGACAGTCCATCCAGGGTGGATGCAGTGATGCCTCTCCCAGTCAGTGGGAGGTGCTGGACATCATTACAGTCAGAGCCAGTGACAGTGATAAGTATTAACTCGTCTTTACCTATTTGTTCACCTCTGCTTCCCTTGGATTGGCACAGGGAGGTGGTTCATTCAGTCTAAAGGGAGACACAAGCCTTTCCTCTGCTGGCTCTGCTGAGTCTGAGCACACAAGGAAAAGGACACATAAGTTTCCACTACTTACATTGAGTCCTCAATAGTTCAGGGTCATTTTTCAGGCCCCTTCTCTGCAGGAGGGAAGTTGCACACTCTTAACCAGGGCTACTACATTGTCCAGATCACTAAACATACCCCCACCTCCTATACAGCATCCAGAGACTGTGTTTGGGCCATGTGCATGCACCGGCACCGAGACTGCTCTCACATGAGCCTGGGAACTGGCTCTTGCTTTACTACAGAGGAAAGCAAAAACCCCACAACAATCCTGACTGGAGGAATCATGCTCCCTGACCCCATCCTGGTCACTGGAGTGACCCACAGTGCATGAACACCAGCCAGGCACATACAAGGACTCTCAGGACCACACTGAGCACCAGCACACACGCACGGGCCTCAAAAGGTCATTTCCTCCAATCCCCTGGCTCAGGACATGATCATTCCTGCCTACATCATCCCATCCAAGTGTTTATTCAACCTGCTCTTAAAACCTTCCCAGGATGGAGATGCCACAACCCCTGCAGGCAAGCTGTTCCAGTACTTAACCACCCGCAGCGTGATGAAGTTGTTCCTAATCCCCAACCTCAATTTCCATTAGTGCAAATTAGAAGTGTTACTTCTCATCCTGCATTCAAGAGGAGGGAGAAAGTTCATTGCTTTTGATATTTCCTTTCACACAAATGGCTTCTTTCACCCCATCTCAACAAGGTCAATGGAAGGAGGAATCTTTTTTCCAGGCAACATCATCAGTACAAAAATCGTTCCTCCTTCCAGCCACATTACAGGACATTTAGTCATAGGAGGCAGCCAGGAACTCAGATCTACAAAGCACTGTTATATCCTGTCAAGTGGAGATGCAGCTCTGCTGGAGAAGCCGTACAAGGACACCTTGGGGTTTCTTTTCATGTATCCCTGGTGGGGTGGGCAGGCTGGGCTTGAGAGGACTTAGCAGGGCCAGTGTATCCTGGTAAGCAGTGTGGCGGGTGCAGAGATCCCACCTCAGGAACACAGCTGGGTATTCGTATCCCTCCGCTGTTTCCACCACGTGAGGCGGGCCAGTAGGGGGCGCTCCTGCGTTGAGCCACCCACCTCCCTGCGCCCGACCACCTTCCAGGCTCCGAATGCCTCCCTAGGGGCGCCTTATGTCCGGCCGACCCCTCTCCCG